AGAAGAAGGAGAAGGATGAGAAGAAGAAGGAGAAGGATGAGGAGAAGGAGAAGGATGAGAAGAAGGAGAAGGATGAGAAGAAGGAGAAGGAGAAGGATGAGAAGAAGGAGAAGGATGAGAAGAAGGAGAAGGATGAGAAGAAGGAGAAGGATGAGAAGAAGGAGAAGGATGAGAAGAAGAGAGAAGGAGAAGGAGAAGGAGAAGCAGAAGGATGAGAAGAAGGAAAAGGAGAAGGATGAGAAGATGGAGAAGGAGAAGGATGAGAAGAAGGAGAAGGAGAAGGATGAGAAGAAGGAGAAGGAGAAGGATGAGAAGAAGGAGAAGGAGAAGGATGAGAAGAAGGAGAAGGAGAAGATGAGAAGGATGAGAAGAAGGATGAGAAGAAGGAGAAGGATGAGAAGAAGGAGAATGGAGAAGGATGAGAAGAAGGAGAAGGATGAAGAAGAAGGATGAGAAGAAGGATGAGAAGAAGGAGAAGGATGAGAAGAAGGACAGTTCTGTGACAGTTTCTGTCTATTTCTGACAGTTCTGGGACATTCCTTCCATACAGCGGTTGAAACATTGTATCTATTTGTTTCCATAAATGACATTCTGCAAATACACTTAGAGGAGCGCTGCAGATACACTTTTTGCCGGCTTGGAATTATTCTTATTTTCATCCTACTTCTTCTTCTTCTTCTTATGAGGATGAGGATGAAGAAGAAGAAGTAGGATGAAAAGAAGAATAATTCCAAGCCGGCAAAAAGTGTATGTGCAGAGTTCCTCTATTTCTGACAGTTCTCTGACAGCTTCTTCACATGTACAGCGGTTGAAACATCTGTATCCTAAATGTAAACTAATAGATACAATGTTTCAACCGCTAAACATGTGTTCCTTCTGTCAGAGAACTGTCAGAAATAGCGGAGCTCACTGCAGGGACACTTTTGCCGGCTGATCGGGAAATGTTCGATTCGCGCACCCGAAGTAGGCAAAATTTCGGATTCGACGCGAATCGAATATTTCCTGAAATTCGACTCGAATTCCGGTTCGCCTGGTTCGATTCGCTCATCTCTAATTGTGGACAGAGACCATAGTGGTGGAGATCATAAGTGGAGATAATAGACAGAGACCATAGTGCTGAAGATCATAGGCAGAGATCTTAGTTGGACATCATAGGTAGAGTTCAAAGATAGAGTTTATGGATCGATATCTTAGTTCTGGAGATCATAGCTACAGATTATGATGCTGAAGATCATAGGTAGAGATTGTGGTCAAAGACCATAATGCAGGAGAACATATGTGGAGATAATAGACAGAGACCATAGAGCAGATGTTCAAAGGTAGAGTTTATGGATAGATATAATAGTGCAGGAGATCATAGGCAGAGGTCTTAGTTGGACATCATAGGTAGAGATCATAGGTAGAGATCTTAGTTGGACATCATAGGTAGAGATTATGGGTAGATATCTTAGTGCTGGAGATCATAGGTACAGATTATGATGCTGAAGATCATAGGTAGAGATTGTGGACAGAGACCATAGTGGTGGAGATCCTGGACAAAGACCACAATGCTGGACATCATAAGTGGAGATAATAGACAGAGATTATAGTGCTGAAGATCATATGTAGAGATTGTGGACAGAGACCATAGTGCAGGAGATCATAGGTAGAGGTTATGGATAGATATCATAGTGCTGGAGATCATAAGTAGAGATCACAGGAGGAAACCATGGACAGATATCATAGTGCTGGTTACAGGTAGGAATCATAGGTGGAGATCATGAATGAAAATCATGGTGGTGTAGAGCATAGATGGAGATTGTGGAGGGGACATTATAGTTCTAGAGATCATAGTGCTGGAAATTATGGGCTGAGACCATAGGGCTGGAGATCATAGGTAGAAATCAAAGTGCTGGAGAGCAAAGGTAGATCAACCGTTTGACATAGTTAACCTTTGGGGGACTCTTGGCATGGTGAACCTTTGGGGGACTCTTGGCATGGTGAACCTTTGGGGGACTCATGGCGTGGTGCACCTTTGGGGGACTCTTGGGATAGTGAACCTTTGGGAGAATCTTGGTACAGTGAACCTTTGGGGGACATTTGGCATGGTGAACCTTTGGGGGACTCTTGGCATGGTGAACCTTCGGGAGACTTTTGGCATGGTGAACCTTTGGGGGTATCTTGGTACAGCAAACCTTTGGGGAACATTTGGCATGGTGAACCTTTGGGGGACTCTTGGCATGGTGAACCTTTGGGGGAATCTTGGTACAGTGAACCTTTGGAGGACATTTGGCATGGTGAACCTTTGGGGGACTCTTGGTACAGTGAACCTTTGGGGGACATTTGGCATGGTGAACCTTTGGGGGACTTTTGGCATGGTGAACCTTTGGGGGACTTTTGGCATGGTGAACCTTTGGGGGACTCTTGGCCTGGTGAACCTTTGGGAGACTTTTGGCATGGTGAACCTTTGGGGGAATCTTGGTACAGTGAACCTTTGGGAGACATTTGGCATGGTGAACCTTTGGGGGACTCTTAGCATGGTGAACCTTTGGGAGACTTTTGGCATGGTGAACCTTTGGGGGAATTTTGGTACAGTGAACCTTTGGGGGACTCTTGGCATGGTGAACCTTTGGGGGACTCTTAGCATGGTGAACCTTTGGGAGACTTTTGGCATGGTGAACCTTTGGGGGACTCTTGGTACAGCGAACCTTTGGGGGACTTTGGGCATGGTGAACCTTTGGGGGACTCTTGATATAGCGAACCTTTGGGGGACTCTTGGTACAGCGAACCTTTGGGGGACTCTTGGCATGGTGAACCTTTGGGGGACTCTTGGCATGGTGGACCTTTGGGGACAGTACCAATGAGGAGGTGAGTATTACAGCCAGACAATTTATTAACCAAATACTGCAGTAAGCAGGTCCTTCAAGCGGGGATCACCTTCAGTGAACACTCAGTGTGCCAAAATTATCAGCAGATATCGAGATTTGGACAAATTATATATTTTCTTGTAAAAGTCGGGCTTGGCCTCCCCCTCCCCCCCTCATAGCCTTCCAATTGTCAGCCCTTCGCACTATAGGCTCAGAAGATGGGAGGGGGCGGGGCCAAGCTCAACAACAACTAAAATGGGCTGCCTTTATCTTTGCATCTATTGAGTGTTTTTTTGAAGGAAATTGAGTGTTTTTTTGAAGGAAATTTTCTACTTTGTTGTCACACTGAATTCAGCATGGCACCACCCCCATGGCACCACCCCCATGGCACCACCCCCATGGCACCATCCCCCATGCCACCACCCCCATGCCACCACCCCAAAAAAGTGGGTTTCCCCAACTAAAATGGAAGCTAACAATATAACAAATTCAAAAGAAATCAATGAAAAGATATAGTCCATGGCGGAGTATTTTAGTCCACCTAGAAAGGTCCTCTAAACCTGACCATACATGTCTACAATCTGCTTACATCTGCCAACAATTGTGTAGTACGGGGGCCTTTCCAGATTGGATAGAAATTGTATCGTTTGGGTCCTTCCATGAGGCAAAGTTGGTATAAGGGGCATGTGAGACTTCCTTCTATGAGGCAAAGTTGGTAAGGGGGCTTGTAACCCTACTTTTCATGCAATGTTGCTATGGGGGGGGGGGGGTTGTATGTGAGCTTCCCTTCCGTGTTGCAAACTTGGTATGGGGTGGCATATGACCGTACCCTCTACGATGCAAAGCTAATATTGGGGGGGGGGGGATGTGAGCCTTCCTTTCATGATACAGAGTTGTTATTATGGGGGGCATGGCTCTTCCGTCCATATTGCAAAGTTGGTATTGGGGGTATTGGGGGGCGTGTGACCCTTCCTTCCATGATGGAGAGTTGGTATGGGTGAGGGGGCAGGAGACTCCTCCTTCCATGATGCAAAGTTGGAATTGGGGAGCATGTGAGCCTTCCGTTCATGATACAGAGTTGTTATGGGGGCATGTGACCCTACCTCCAATGATTCAGAGTTGGTATGGGGGGAATATGACCCCTCCTTCCATGCAAAGTTGGTATGGAGGGGGAGGGGGCATATGACCCTCCCTTCCATGATGCAAAATTGGTATGGGGGGGCATGTGACCCTTTCTTCCACGATTCAAAGCTGGGGTGTGGAGGCATGTAACCCTACCTTTCATGATGCAGAGTTGCTATGGGGGCCATGTGACCAGGGGCGGACTGACCATTTGGAAACTCGGGCCCGGGTTCAGTAGGGGGCCCCATGAGATGCCCCTGGTACCTTTTTCATAGGCTTTTTTGAGTTTGGGCAAGGACACAGGGGCCCCATGATCCCCTATTGCCCGGGGGCCCCATGAGTTGTCAGTCCACCCCTGCATGTGACCCTACCTTTCTTGATGCAGAGTTGTTATGGGGACATGTGATCCTACTTCCAACGATTCAGAGTTGGTATGGCGGGCATATCCATAATGCAGAGCTGATATGGGGAGGGGACATAAGACCCTTCCCTCAATGATGCAAAGTTGGTATGGGGTGGGAGGGGGCATATGACCCTTCCTTCCATGATGCAAAGTTGGTATGGGGGGGGAGGGGGGCATGTGACCCTTCCTTCCATGATGCAAAGCTGGGGTAAGGGATGCATATCACCCTACCTTCCATGATGCACAATTGGTATGGGGGGGCATATAGCCATTCCTTCGAAGATGCAAAGTTGGGTTCTTGCAGCCAAATACCAGGCCAGGCACATAGGTGGGTGGGTGGGGGCAAGGAGGGTACTTAGCCCAGTGTAACATCTACCCCAGATCACCCCAAAACAAGGATCTGTCCTGAGGTTCTGGCAGACTAACTGTGAGGCAAGGAGGCACAGATAGGTAAGTAGATCAGCCAACAGAAGACCGGCTATCAGACCTACCTGTTACTTTGCCCTGACTGGATGAAGTATATGGAGTTTAGAAGGGTTCCAAACTCCATAGACATACAAAATATTTTGATAGGAGAACTTTGGAACAAAGTTGAAAAAAATAGGCAAACATTTCGGCAGCCCTTCTCATTATGGTCTGAAGCCTATGTCCACCGTGATATTGGCGTAGAGCGGTAGAAGCTCCTTGGACAAAAGTTTATAATGGAGGTTGTTGATGCCGTCTTGTCTCCAAGCCTGCCCTGTTTTGTCCAAAAGATCCCACCGTTCCGGGTTTGCTTCATTCCCTTTGTCTGGACTGTGCTGTATCATTTTATATCTCCCATAAACAATGGAGGGTCGCAACACCGACATGCCACTGAGGACCACTCTATTGCCAATGTCATCGTCCTCACCGCCCCAGCCCCAGTAGTTATTTGGAAACCCATTGATTTGCATGTACTGCTTGGGGGTGAATGCACAGACGCCTCCAAAATATGAACCGTATGGCAGAACATAACCAAACTTGTCTATGGCACTAGATGCATGCTTGGGGAACCTGTCGCAGGTGTACAGGTTGCGGCCATCTTCGGGGATGAGGTCCACATCATGGAAGAACAAGCAGTCCCAGTCATCATCCTTCATGGCTTCCTTGAAGCCAACGTTCATCAGCTTAGCACGGTTAAAGGTGAAACTACCCGCCTGGTGGATGACGTAGATGCCGTAGTTCAGCTGCTGGAGCTGCAGAAAGGGGTGCAAATTGTACAAGAGATACTTAAGGTGGTGCTCCCTGTTCCGGTGAGGGATGATGATGGCGGTTTTCTTTCTGGAGGTACAGTTGAGGGGCTTGTAGAGGCCTCCTTGGGTCACATCGGGGTTCTTGCGTATCACTTCTTCCAGTGTCAGGGACTTTGGAAACTGGACCCTGATAGGCCCTAATGGGGAGATGATCGAGCAATTTGTCAATGTCTGACTTCCTTCACGGCTTCCGGCTTTCAAACTTAGCTTGTCATGAATATCCTCAGTAAATGTTAGGTTCTGGGCACTGGGCTGTACCAAATACTTGAGGACACCCTTCTGTAGAATCCCAAAGGAGTATGTGACCACCTTCGGGACGCCCAAGTAGTACAGGAGGGTCATAACCACCAGCTGGACGAAGAGAAAGAGGAGCAGGTAATGTCTTTTTGATGTGTCCATTGTTCAGTTCGCTAAGATCCAAGTCACAAAATCCAGCCAAGAATTATTAAAAGGCGTACGTGATCCAGGTGGTTACCAGCAAGTTCTTCCTGGTCCTTCTTAAAAAATATGATCTTCTCTTTCGACTCAGTCAGTTGAAAAGTGTAGAAGAGAAGCATAAAAAAAAAAAAAGCCAAAAGGATCTGCAGGATCCAGTCTGTGAGCGGCAAGACGTGTGTCAAAGACGGTTCCGTGTTCAACCTCGCTGGCTCCATCGAGGTACACCTTGCTGACAGATAAATCACGTATGTGTAAGTGCAGGTAGGTCACGTTGACATCCCAGCCATTTCGAGCACTCGCTTGAAACTAGGTTCCTGGTCTGCATGAACGGGCTACTGACCCACCCACTAAACTAGAATATTGTGAATTCATGTGGCTGGAACATTGCAAACAACTAGCTTGTTCATCACATCGGGGTTCTTGCGTATCACTTCTTCCAGTGTCAGGGACTTTGGAAATTGGACCCTGATAGGCCCTAATGGGGAGATCATCAAGCAATTTGTCAATGTCTGACTTCCTTCATTCCTTCCGTCTATCAAACTTAGCTTGTCATGATTATCCTCAGTAAATGTTAGGTTCTGGGAACTGGGCTGTACCCAATACTTGAGGACGCCCTTCTGTAGATCCCAAAGGAGTATGTGACCACCTTCGGAACCCCCAAGTAGTACAGGAGGGTCACAGCCACCAGCTGGACGAAGAGAAAGAGGAGCAGGTAATGTCTTTCTGATGTGTCCATTGTTCAGTTCGATAAGATCCAAGTCACAAAATCCAGCCAAGAATTATTAAAAGGCGTACGTGATCCAGGTGGTTACCAGCAAGTTCTTCCTGGTCCTTCTTAAAAAATATGATCTTCTCTTTCGACTCAGTCAGTTGAAAAGTGTAGAAGAGAAGCATAAAAAAAAAAAAAAGCCAAAAGGATCTGCAGGATCCAGTCTGTGAGCGGCAAGACGTGTGTCAAAGATGGCTCCGTGTTCAACCTCGCTGGCTCCATCGAGGTACACCTTGCTGACAGATAAATCACGTACGTGTATGTGCAGGTAGGTCACGTTGACATCCCAGCCATTTCGAGCACTCGCTTGAAACTAGGTTCCTGGTCTGCATGAACGGGCTACTGACCCACCCACTAAACTAGAATATTGTGAATTCATGTGGCTGGAACATTGCAAACAACTAGCTTGTTCATCACATCGGGGTTCTTGCGTATCACTTCTTCCAGTGTCAGGGACTTTGGAAATTGGACCCTGATAGGCCCTAATGGGGAGAACATCAAGCAATTTGTCAATGTCTGACTTCCTTCATTGCTTCCGGCTATCAAACTTAGCTTGTCATGATTATCCTCAGTAAATGTTAGGTTCTGGGCACTGGGCTGTACCCAATACTTGAGGACGCCCTTCTGTAGAATCCCAAAGGAGTATGTGACCACCTTCGGAACCCCCAAGTAGTACAGGAGGGTCATGCCACCAGCTGGACGAAGAGAAAGAGGAGCAGGTAATGTCTTTCTGATGTGTCCATTGTTCAGTTCGATAAGATCCAAGTCACAAAATCCAGCCAAGAATTAATAAAAGGCGTACGTGATCCAGGTGGTTACCAGCAAGTTCTTCTTGGTCCTTGTTAAAAAATATGATCTCCTCTTTTGACTCAGTTAGTTGAAAAGTGTAGAAGAGAAGCATAAAAAAAAAAGCCAAAAGGATCTGCAGGATCCAGTCTGTGAGCGGCAAGACGTGTGTCAAAGACGGTTCCGTGTTCAACCTCGCTGGCTCCATCGAGGTACACCTTGCTGACAGATAAATCACGTACGTGTAAGTGCAGGTAGGTCACGATGACCTACTGAGAAAATTCAGAAAGTCGAAACAGACCATTTTCTTCTGTCCCAAATATCTCAAAGAATGCATCTGTAGCACTACCCCCTTAAGAGTTGTTGAGTTTTGGGTCCCCCTATAGTCCTGGACAGCCAGGCCAACACACATTTTCTTCAGACCTTGCACACAGGAGACAGTAAACAGTCCTTGAACTTGTTTTTTTTTTTTTTGGGGGGGGGGGGGGGATTTATTAGGATTATTGAACTTGGAAGGGGTTGATGGATTGTACAGGATGCCCCAGGGGAACTGTGAGGACAAACACCTTAGCAACTATATACAAGTCTATTAGACAACAAGGTCTCTTGGTTGGAAGAGCTCTCCAGCCCTCCGAGTGTACCACCTCAGACCCCAGATGAAATCTTCTGTTCATCCAGCTGCCTGAGGGAATTCTTGGGCAAGGGGACCCAGAGTCTACCACTTAAAAATCAGCAGTCCCAGATGGGGGCTAGTCAGGTTTCCCACCAGAATGCCCTCTCCCCTTATCTGGCCCAGGGGAATATGGGATTACTCACTCAGCCTTCTCCTGCAAACTTGTGGGTTGGTGGCTGCCTTCAGGCCTTACGCTGGGTTGGCTCCTTCCCTGCTTCCCAGCTTGTCCTCTCTCCTAGGATGGTGAGGCTGAGAGATCCTCCCTTCCAGCTCCTTCGCCTGTAGGTAGGCCCCTCTCCTAGGCCCCCTCCAGGGCTCCACACTTCAGCCTTCTCACTCCATCTTCCACCCAAACTTTCCTGCCTCTGAGCAGGCTCAGTCTCTCTTAAGGGCTGTCCTGACCCCATGCCAAGCCTCCTGCTTGGGGATTGGTCACAGGATAAGGGTGGATTGACAACTCATGGGGCCCCCGGGCAATAGCGGATCATGGGGCCCCTGTGTCCTCACCCACACTCAAAAGAGCCTATGAAAGGTACCAGGGGCATCTCATGGGGCCCCCTACTGACCCCGGGCACTCGGGCAGTGCCCAAGTTCCCAAATGGTCAGTCCGCCCCTGGTCAGGATCCCTCAAGAGTGCAGACCAGCTTTTCCTCACCCCTGCCTACTGAGTTCTAGAGACTTCCCCAAGCCTCTAGATCAGGGGGGAGGTATCAGAGAACTGATCTGCAGAGCCTCTCAGCCCTGACCCAAACTTGACCCTTTGACTATTTCTCCCGACTGCCATTTAGCCTCCCATCTAGAAATATAATTAGCTAGCTCCCCCTAGCTAACTAGGAGGGTGCTACACATGACTATAAACAAACCACATTTAAGTGTAAGTCCAACCAGAACCTTTTATATAAAATTTTGGTAGAGTGGGGGAGGGTAAAAAAACCATTGTCAGGTCTGCACTTCTACCCCGGGCTCTATAGGGCCTATTCTGCAGGTTCTATGTTATAGAGCAGCCATCACTAAATGGAGGACAGTGGTCCAGACCCAGACAGAGTGATGGTCCCATCCTGACCATCAGGCAGTCCCCAACATTGGTTCTCACCATCTGCTTGCTCACCATCAATGGTGCCATGTGCATGCCCCACCTCCAGCATCAAAGGAGAACGGAAGTGGAACTTTCTCTTTCCAGACCTGCAGCTTGTATAGGCATAGTGGGGGCTGTTAATGGGACACCTGATGTAAGGGGCACTATGATGGGATCACTGTGATTGAGACACCTGAAATCAAAGGGGGCACAGGGACACCAGATGTAGGGGGTACTAAAATGGGGACACTCGATTTAGGGGGGTGCTGTGATCAGGACGCCTCATATAGCAGGGCATGGGGACACCAGGTGTAGGGGGTACTGAGATGGGGACACCTGATGTATAGGGATACGGTGATGGGGACACCTAATGTAAAGGGGCACTGTGATGGGGACACCTGATTTAAGGGGGCACGGGGACCCCATATGTTGTGGGTACTGAGATGGGGACACCTGCTGTACAGGGGTACTGTGATGGGGGACACCTGATCTGAGTTGACATGGGGACACCAGATGTATGGGGTACTGAGATGGGGACACCTGATGTAAAGGAGCACTGAGATGGGGACACCTGATATAAGGAGGCACAAGGACCCCATATGTAGTGGGTACTGAGATGGGGAAACCTGATGTATAGGGGTACTGATCAAAAGTTGACATGGGGACACCAGATGTAGGAGATCTGAGACACCTAATGCATAGAGGTACTGTGATGGGGACACCTGATATGAAAAGGGAACTGTGATGGGGACACTTGATCTAAGTGGTAATAGGGACACCAGTTGTAGGGGATCTGATGTAGGGACACCTAATGTATAAAGGTACTGTGATGGGGACACCTGATCTAAGTTGACATGGGGACACCAGATGTAGGGGATCTGAGATGGGGACACCTGATGTAAAGGAGCACTGTGTTGGGGATACCTGACATAAGGGGGCACGAGGACCCCATATGTAGTAGGTACAGAGATGGGGACACCTGATGTATAGGGGTATTGTGATGGGGACACCAGATGTAGGGGATCTAGGGACACCTATTGTATAGAGGTACTGTGATGGGGACAGCTGATGTGAAAATGGAACTGTGATGGGGACACTTGATCTACGTGGGCATAGGGACACCAGATGTAGTGGATCTGATATAGGGACACCTAATGTATAAAGGTACTGTGATGGGGACACCTGATCTAAGTTGACATGGGGACACCCGATGTAGGGGATCTGATATAGGGACACCTAATGTATAAAGGTACTGTGATGGGGACACCTGATCTAAGTTGACATGGGGACACCAGATGTAGGGGATCTGAGATGGGGACACCTAATGTATAAAGGTACTGTGATGGGGACACCTGATCTAAGTTGACATGGGGACACCAGATGTAGGGGATCTGATATAGGGACACCTAATGTATAAAGGTACTGTGATGGGGACACCTGATCTAAGTTGATATGGGGACACCCGATGTAGGGTATCTGAGATGGGGACACCTAATGTATAGAGGTACTGTGATGGGGACACCTGATCTACGTTGACAAGGGGACACCCGATGTAGGGTATCTGAGATGGGACACCTAATGTATAGAGGTACTGTGATGGG